GAACCGTATTTCCCACACCCCTCAGAAGCAGTGCAAAGGCTGGAGGAGTCAAGGGTAATGGAGGAGCTGAGGGAGAGGGAAGTAAATTGCTGAGAAAGCGCCTGAGTGTGAACTCGGAGGGTTGTTGGGTATCGATGGGAAAAATATGGAACAGGTTTTTTTGGGGATCGGGGAGGGATTGTTAGGGAGCTTCCCCCATGCAGACCCTGGCTGACCCCTAGCCTCTCCCATTCAGTCAGGCACATCTGCCCCTGTACCCATGTGTCCCTCCACCCCACTCAGATACCCACTCCTCTCATCCTTATGTGGCTCTGTACCCCCTCCCCCATCCCCATGTGTGTCTGTGCCCCCACCTAGCCTCTCCCTACATGTCCCTGTACCCCCTCCCCCTGTCCCTGTGTGTCTCTGCACCTCCCTTCCCCCCGTGGCCCTGTGCCTCCACTCCCATTCAGCCCCTGCCCCAGTCTGCCCTACCCCACTAGCCCTTATGAGCCCCTGTCTGGCCCTCCCCAGCACCCCATGATGTCTGTCCCCCCATAGCCCCTGTCTCCTGACCTGGTCTGCTGTGAAGAAAGCACTGTAGGCTCTCTTTTCCCTTGCTGGCAGGGAGTTGCTGCTCCGTTCTATCGCCACAGTGCCCGCTGGTGGACAAAAGGCGGAACTGCAGCAACATTTCAGCAGCAGCTTTTTTTTTTGCGCAAAAAAATAAAAATCTGTGGGGCTCATTAATTAAGTGCACGCGCAGTAGCGCAAAATTCCCCCAGAAGTAATGTTTAAAACATGTGTAATTATACATTGATTTCATCTGCGTGGACTGCAAATTTCTGGATGGGAGGCGAGTGGAAGCCCAGCGGCCAGAAGCGTATGAGAAAAGGGAGGTAACTGGGTGAGCTGGAGAGCAACAGAAGTCCACTGGGCAAGGCAGTACTTAATTTAAATATGAACTGTATTCTTTTCTGTCATCTGCTGGAGCGCAAGGGAAGTTGACTGACCAAGGAAGTAATTCACTTACATATTAGCTGTGGCTAATTTGAAGACACTGGCATATAATTCGCCTACATTATGTACTTGGAGCCAAAATTTTGGAGATTAACCTGTTGAGAACCACCTGGGCAAAACCTGGGTTTGGGGTCACACTGGTGAAGACTGATGTTTGCCAGGCCTGGGTACGAGGCCCTAGGTAAAGCCTGAGTTCGAGGGGAGAGACTGCACATTCCTGGCTTGTTAGTGGAAATATTCCTCCGGGCAGTAGGTATTCTACTGTGTCCCTTAGAATTAGATCACTGATCCCTTTGCTCCTAAAACAGATGAGCTGAGAGCTGCAGTTGCCTTACGTAGAGAGAGCTCAACAATGGTTCCAGTAATCTGGCCTGGGGCAAGTAGAAGACAGAGCCTAGTCGCAGTTCCAGTCACCTGGCCAGCAGTGAGTAAAGTGGCAGCTTGGCCCACCAACAGCCTCCAGCAGGAAAAACCAGACAGAGCAGTTGTGAGGACTATAGTAAAGCAGAGGAGTTTCCAGTCTACACCGGCCTAAAGATTCTGGTGAGATCTCCTTGTCCTAGCTGCTGAAATTATTACAGCACGAAAGGTGGTAAAGACCCAAAGCTGCCCAAGAAACAGGGACCTTGATTTTCCTGTAACTCCTGGACCCTTGAACTATGAATGGGGAAGTTGGGAGGCAGGAAAACTGCACCAGCCACTCAGGGCTCAATCATAAGCACCGAGTTTCTAATCTGCCAGGGGGTGCTCCCCTCGGCTCCATCCAGGCCCTGCTCCCACTCCATCCTTTCCCCCAATACCCCACCTTCACCCTGCTTCTTCCCATCCCTGCTCAGCCCCTGCCCCACCTCTTCCCGTCCCGCCTCCTCCCTGCCCAGTTCCAACCCCTCCCGACATGCTGCGCCCTTGCTCCTCCCCGCACAGCACCTCCTGACACTGCAAAACATTGGGAGGAGGGGGATGTGCTGATCGGCGGGGCCCACCGGGGGCGTAGGAGGCACTGTGGGGAGGGAGAGCCGTTGATAGGGGGCTGCCAGTGGGTGCTCAGCACCCACCATTTTTTTCCCCATGGGTGCTCCAGCCCCAGAGCACCCACGGAGTCGGCGCCTACAGGCTCCATTATTCAGGACTGTGATTTATGCACACCGAAGTAGCAGGTGTTAATTGCAATGTTTGTCCCAGTTCACCCTGACCTTTTCCTTTCTTTCCCCCAATAGAGTTCCTTTCTTTAAACCTCTCTTGAATGTGCTTCGAGCAGGTACAGATCTGCCTATCAAAGATGCCCAGCATGGTTCCCAGGTCACTGGGTGGGGGTTCAAGCCATAGTTAAGCCAACTGTAGAGAACCCCCTAGTAAGAAAGACCAGTCCTTGTTGCTCCCGACACCACTGGCGGAAGGATTACAGGCACTATTAATTTTCTTAAAATCCATTTTCCTAGACTCAGAATCCAAGAATGTGTGTCATAAATATTTGGCTTTGGTCTTCTGTTATGCCATAGCAAATCAATGAGCAAAAGCAGTAAGAGCAAGTTTTGTTTCATACCTTTGTATTTACAGCAATAATAGGTTTGGCATGAGAACGATACCAGTTCTTTTTCAGCAGCTTCCCAAGAACTTGGTGACTGAGCACTACTTCAAGACACTAAGGACACCAACCTGAAGACGACACCCAGCATCACCTTCATAACAGACTGTAAAGAACTCCAGCCCATTAGAGCCTCTTATTTGAGGCCACAAATATGCTGTAATTTGATGAGATTCAATCAAACAAAAAACTCTAGCTCTTAACACCCACAAACATTAGGAGAATAAAGGAGGACTAAAAGACTATCTAAATTTTGTGCTTTGAGCTTATATCTAACTTGAAGTACCAGATACTCCCCATACACCTCAAAATTTACCCCCCACTTTTCACACGCTCCAATATCCTGGCCATAAAAAAAGATATGAATACCAAATAGTGCATTTATTAAAGATAGCATACTATAAAGAACACTTCACCGCATTTTAATACCATGCAAATCACTGATCTTAAGGGTAGTATATAAAATGGAAGTTACTGGAAATATTAAAACATACTATATGTTAATTCACAAATTATTTTCCAATAGTGAACCACCAATAGGAAGTGTTCCTAAAAGGATTCTGTGATAGGAGGCCTGGAGGCCTTGTGGCCCTGTATCACCCCCACCCTAGGAAAGAGCAATATAGACATCTCCAAGCTGCCCACAGCGGCTGTGTGGGACACAGCCAACGAGAGGGGTTGCAGGGACCAGCCAGTCAGGGCCCAGAAGGCTCATATAAAAAGGAGCTGAAAGGGCTGGATAGATCAGTCTGCTTGCAGGGACCAGGGGAGCTAGAGGTGCTCCTGGCTGGCTGCAGGGGCTAAGGCAGGTAGTTGCTGGCAGGGAGCGGGAAAGCGAGGGTATAGTTTCTGGATGGCTACCAAGACTCAATTAAGATGGGCTACGGGGAAGTGGCCCAGGGAAATGTAATTAGTTAAAGGGACATGGCATGTGGCTGCTACTTAGAGGGCTGGGACCTGGAGTAGTGGGTGGGCCTGGGTCCCTCCCCCCACTCCAAACAGCCATTGGGGAAGTGGCTTTGCCCTGAGAGAAGAGAGTTTAGACAGGCCCAGGGAAGGGACTGTACGTGGACCTGTTACGGTCCCCCTGGAAGGGGGCTGAACTGAGACTGACCCAGCTGGAGAGCTGGGGTCACAGAACTAAAGGGCAGGTGAAGAGCCTCCAGGGATGAAGCCCCGGGGGGGTCTGTTCCATCCCAGAGCAGGAACCTTCACACATAAACTGACCAACGAGGGTATTGAGATAGGACCTGTTGGTCAGACTGAGGACCAGAGCCCGGGGAGAGCTAAAGAGACATTGCCAACAGAGGGGTACCGTGATGGGCCCAGTCGGATTGTTAAAGGACTGAGCCCGGGGAGGCTGTAGGACTTTTTGGACTTATACCCCAGAAGGAGTTTGTTTGTTTGCAAACAGATTGTGTGTGTGAGACTTAGTGGGAGGGCTGAGTCACCAAAGACCCACCTGACAAGCGCAGCAACTGACAGGGGTCACTGTGAGCCTAGAAATTGAGAAATTGCAGGCACGCACACACTCGACCGGGGGCACTTGTGAGAGGTGGGTGCCACCCCATTACAGATTCACTATCATGGTTAAGCCTTTCTTTGCTCCTTCTACAATAGCCTGCAGGCCAGTGTGACAGTCTGTATGAGAATACACCGGTTCACAATCAAAAATGTAAATAATGAATCTTTATTTACTATTTTCACTATGAAAAGTTTCTCCGTTACAGAAGGATGTTTGTTTTTATTACGTTTTATGCACTTTTCAGGTACAGAGTTTCTCCATATTTGAAGATGGCCTGAACATTTTCAATATTCTTTTGAATGGGTACATGAAAAGTTAACTCCATAGTCTGCCTCACATAGCATGTCCAGTAAAGGTATTTGTTCTGCTACTTAGCATTTTACTAGTGTTTCCACATGTGCTTAACATACATTTCTCTACGTTTTTACAACTCCATTATACTATTAGACCTTTAGAGTGGTGCCTTGTAGTCTCACAATTAAGTCCTTACAATTCAGTTACATTTTAAGAAGCAACTTGATAAAAAAAATATCACTGGGAGGTACTAAGCTTATTGTCTCAATTACTTTCACATCACAGGTACTCCGTTTATAAAGAAGATGGATTTTTCTAACTATCAGCTCTGCAAATGGCTAGCTGGTTTATTGCTAGCTCATGTATCATCACCAAAAGATTCTGGAATTAGCAGTTAACTAACAATAGTGCTGAGTAAGAAGGTGCCATTTTACATGGTGACTAATCTAAGCATAACTGTACTTTAACATTACTAGTACAGCAGCTATAAGTAAACAGAAAATAAGCATTACACAAGATCACTGACAGAACATGAGGATATATACATTTCAATATGGGACTACTATAGCTTTGACTAAGAAGAATTTGTTTACTTACCTATGTTTATTTTATTTGATTTTCCACTTTTTTCAGACTCCTGTTTTAAGAAAAGAAAAAACCATGAGGATGCCGACAAAAATCCTAATGTTTGCATACAGATATCTAAATAATGAAGTGCTCATCAGGTTCTATCTGAATTCTTAGCATGTTTTAACACACTCCAGGATAAAAAAAACCTAACGAAAGGTCTTTCAACCCTCAGGGACAGCTATTTAATATAGTAAGGACATTTTCTACATGGTCATACAATGACTGAAGCAAGGTATTTCCATATTTAAAGAATTACTGAAAAGCATTATATAATGCTTATTTCTTACAAATCTAATTATAAAGGAATTTGTTATTACTGTAAGCATTTTACTTTTTTTTTTTTTAATGTCCTTCGTGGATACCAATTGTGACTAAACATATAAAAAGGTACAAAATACAGAAAAAAATCATAGCAAATTCAGGAACACCTCATTCATAGCTGATCAGCTACCACATGTCTATTGAGATAAACAAGGTGGATGAGGTAATACCTTTTATTGGACCAATTTCTGTTGGTGAGAGAGAGAAGCTTTCAAGCCACAGAGCCCTTTTTCAGGTCTGGGAAAGGTACTTCCAGCATCACAGCATAACGCAAGGTGGAACAGAGGGTTTAGCTTAAATAGTTAGCACATATTGTAAGGGAACATTCAAGGTAAAGTGGTCCGTTAACACCTCTGCAGTCATAGGACGAAAAGGGGTTTAGTGGATTACAGATTGTTGTAATAACCCATAAATTAAGTGTCTCTGTTCAGTGAATGATTTTTAGGGTCTATCAGAGTAATGAATTTAAGCTCCCAGGCTCGTCTTTTGAAAGCGTTGTGAAAATTTCCTTTGAGGATGACGACTGATAGGTCAGATATAGTGATCGCTCTGTGAAAAAACAATGAGGAGTCCTTGTGGCACGTTAGAGGCTAACAAATTTATTTGGGCATAAACTTTCGTGGGATATAATCCACTTCATCAGGTGCATGGAGTGGAAAATATAGTAAGCAGGTATAAATATACAGCACATGACAAGATAGGAGTTGCCTTACCAAGTCGGGGGTCAGTGCTAACGAGGCCAATTCAATTAGGGTGGAAGTGGCCCATTCCCAACAGTTGACAAGAAGGGGTGAATATCAACAGAGGGAAAATTATTTTTTGTAGTGACCCAGCCACTCCCAGTCTTTATTCAGGCTTAATTTGATGGTGTCAAGTTTGCAAATTAATTCCAGTTCTGCAGTTTCTTGTTGAAGTCTGTTTTTGAAGGTTTTTTTGCTGAAGAATGGCGACTTTTAAGTCTGTTATTGAGTGTCCAGGGAGATTGAAGTGCTCTCCTACTGGTTTTTGAATGTTACAATTCTTGATGTCTGATTTGTGTCTGTGATGTTCCCCTCTGGGGTTATCTGGACCAGTGATCTGCTAGACCTCTCCAATCCTTGGCTCTGGGAGCCAGCCTTACCCTGCTCTGCTGTGAGAACCCCCACTCCTAGGCTGTTCATGCACAGCCTCTGGCATGTAAGCTGCTCCCAGCTACTTGCAAGCGAATGACACTAGCCAATATCTCTGGTCCCAGAAACAACCCTAGGAACCTCCGTCTTGCAGTGTCCGGTTATGCCCACTGGATGCTGCAAACTTATATAAGTTAGTCAATTTAACAAAGAAATTGATATGTACCCGGCTTGTTATTCCAAGGGGAGCCTCTGACACACTTCAAACCAAACGCACTGCTTCAGGTAGAATAAACAAACAAATTTATTAACTATAAAGACAGATCTTAAGTGATTATAAGTCAAAGCATAACAAGTCAGATTTGGTCAATGAAATAAAAGCAAAAGGCATTCTAAGCTGATCTTAACACTTTCAATGTCCTTACAATCTTAGGTGTTTCTCACCACAGGCTGGCTGGTTACTTTTCAGTCAGGCTCTCCCCTTTGATCAGAGCTTCAGTCGCTTGGTGGCGGTGGTGTCTGTAGATGTAGGTGGAAGAGAGAGAGCATGGCAAAATGTCTCTCCCTTTTATCATGTCCTTTCTTTCCTCTTGGCTTTGCCCCCTCCCCCCTGCTTCAGAGTCAGGTGAACATTACCTCATCAGACTCCCAAACTGCCAAAAGGAAGGGGGTGACTCCCTTGAGGGTCTAACAGATTCTTTTGTTGCTGCCTAACCCAGTGTCCATTTTTCCTGTGAGGCTGGGCTGGGTTTGTCCCATCCATGCCCTGACAAGGTGTGAACTGCCTCTCTGCTCTTGGCAAGTTTTTGCATGGGCTTGCTTTAAGACATGAGGATACATTTTCAGCCTCATAACTATATACATGAAATTATAACCTATAACCTTACTATAACATTACTGTAACAATTACTATAACAACCATGCTCAGTGCATTATGAGCCTTCTGAAGACACCCAACATGACAAACTTTGCATTGGATACCACACAATCATTTTATAAAGATGAACATGGGGGTGTAGCGTGTTCCCCCGAGGTACAGAGCATCATACCTCCCCTCTTAGTTTGCTGCAAGAGGGTTAGTCACTGACTAGCTCAAAGGCAGTTTGTTATAGTTCTCTTGGCATCCAGCCATTAAGGCCATGAGGCAGCGTGCCTCAGTTTCCCCATTCACACACAGCAAACCAGGGTTTTTGGTTTTTTTATGGTTTCTCTGCTGTGATAAGCTTTAAACCTGTTTACAGGTATTAATTGAAAAGTAGCATTATCATAAGGTTTAACATCCATGTCAAAATTCTTATCCCCAAAACTTAACATCAGTTAGTGAAGTTTCAGGTTAGTTTGTTCATTAGCCATGGTGTCCTTTGACTCTCTCCCATGTAATCAGTCACTGGCTTCTCTTTCCCTCCAGTGCTTCCCTTTGTGTGGGCTCTTAATTCAATCATGTTTCTGGCATTTTGATAACTCAGGGTCTGGCAAGATAAGGGTCCAGAAGGATCCTGCACATTGGCTGGCCCTTTGGGGAGCGGTCTCCCAACCCCAGGACTGTACATATGTAGGATATCCAACTCCCCTTTTGGGGTTACCCTGTGTTTCCCCCTCCCAGCACTGAGTCCTTCCCTGCCCCCTAGAGGGCTGTGATCTGTGCTCTCTGAGCTAGGTGTATTTACCCTTTGATCAGATTCATCCTTTCCCAGCAGCTTTCCCATAACTGCTCTCTCTGGGGGAAAGCACCCACCCCCCTCTGTGAGTTGGGTCGTTTGTATTCTGGCAGACTACCACCTGGCAATTTCCTGGTCTCAACTCCTCTGCTGTTACAGGCATTGGAGCTGCATCTTGATGTAAAGAGAGACAGTTACTTTCCAAAAACTTATCAGGAATAGCACCCTGAAAAATTGGGACCTGGATTGAGGTACCCTCCATCAACCCTTTCTCTGTCCCAGAGAAGTCAGCTGTGTGACTGCTCCCCTCCAGGAGGTCAGTTACACAGTTCCTTCTCAAAACCTGGGTCACAAGCTGAGTGCCTGGGTGCACAGATGCTGACCCGGCCATCCTGCTTGTGTCCTGGGTATCCTGCCCCAAGTGACTAGTGAGGAGACATTCCTTCCCCGGTTTCCTTCTCTGAGCCCCCTCCTTCAGCTGCAGAACTCTGCCAGCTAACAACTGGGACAGTTTCTTTAATCACTGACAACACCTCTCCTGCCCCTGCGCCTGAGGGCATGTTGCCTTCTGCTGGAAAGGAGCTAGTCTCAGCCCCTCCCATACTTGGAAGCACCCTGCTTCCCTGTGTTACAGAGTCACAGGAATCCTCACCCACCTCAGTGGTTTCTGAGATCCCCTGCCCCTTTTCTGGGCTCTCCTCTGGGACACATTTCTCTATGCTCCTGTCATAAACATAGAGAGAAGGATAGCATAAAATCCCTCCTTGGCAGCTATACTGAATCGCCTTACCTGTAAGGGGTTAAGTAGTTCAAATAACCTAGTTGGCACCTGACCAGAAGGACCAATGAGAAAAGAAGATGCTTTCAAATCTGGGGGGGGAAGGTTTTGTTTGGGCTCTCTCTTTGTTGTTCCCTCTCCAGACAGAGGGAGAGACCAAGCAGGTGCAACATGTCCTGAAAATATACCTGGAATAATAGATCTAAAATCACAGAAATTGTAAATAGGGCAAGGAAATGTGTTAGGTTATCTTTTGTTTTGAATTGTAAATTTTTCTATGCTACAGAGGTAGTTTTATTCCTGTTTTTGTACTGTGAAGCTGAGCCCAGGGGGGAATCCTCTGTGTTTTAAATCTTATTACCCTGTAAAGTTACCTTCCATCCTGATTTTGCAAGTGTGATTCTTTTTCTTTATAAATAAAGTTCTTCTTTTAAGAACCTGATTGATTTCAGTGTCCTGAAGACAAAGAGTCTGGTCTGTGCTTACATTGCTAAGGCAATTGGTTGGTATATTATTCTCAAGCCTCCCCAGGAAAGGGGGTGAGGGGGCTTGGGGGGGGATAGGGATTCCAAGTAACCCTTCCCTGAATTTTTGTGTAAATCACTTGGTGGTGGTAGCAATACCGTCCAAGGACAAGTAAAGGAAAGGAATTTGTGCCTTGGGGAAGTTTTAACCTAAGCTGGTAGAATATAAGCTTAGGGGGTCTTTCATGCAGGTCTCCACATCTACACCCCAGAGTTCAGAGTGTGGGGGGAAACCCTGACAGCTCCCTAGAGCCGGTTTTGCCTCTGGTTCAGCTGCAACCTGCTGGCAGCTAACAACCTGGACAGTTCTCTCCCTGGCAGGCATTACACCCCCATCCCTTCCTGATGTGGTGTTGCCTCCGGCTGCAGTGCAGGAGTTGGTCTCAACCACCCTCCCACCTGGAAGCACACTGCTTCCCCCAGCTGCAGAAGAATCAAGGAGACTCTCTCCCATTCTCTCAGCAGTTCCTGAGACCTTACCCTTTCCCTCAGGGGTCCCAGCATAACACTCCCTCCTGCTGCAGGCAAATACTTTAACCTGAGCTACACAGGAAAAAATCATTACCAAGGAGCAGGTCGAATAGGAGGTATTCCATTACCCCCACAGTCAAAACACT